ACCCCTACGGCCAACGACCATCGTCAAAAGAAAAATTCGACATCGCTCGAATTATAACGGGTTGATATTTCGATCATTGATCGAAATAACACCCCTACGGCCAACGGCCATAGCCAAAAGAAGAATTCGACTTCGCTCGAATTATAACGGGTTAACTTTCCGACCTTGCTCGAAATGATACCCCTATGGCCAACGGCCATCACCAAAAGAAAAATTCAACCTCGCTCGAATTGCAACGGGTTACTATTTTGATCTTGCTCGAAATAACAACCTTACAGCCACTGGACATCGTCGAATCAAATGGGTTACAATTCGACCTTACTTGAATTAACACTTTTACGGCCACTGGCCATCATCAAAACAAGAAGGTTACAATTTGACTTCGCTCGGAACAACACCTTTACAGCCACTGACCACCGTAAAATAAAAGGAAAAGTTAGAAGTCGTTCAAATAAAGTCAGAAATGGACCTCACTCCAGACAACAATTCCAAGTTCGACTCCGCTCGAGTACATCTGAAAAAGTTTACTTCGCCTAAGTCGGCAAGTCTAAACTCAATCCCACTCGAATGTTCAAGTCAAAACTGATTTCGTCCAAAAGGGCGGATCTGAATTCAACCTCGTTTAAATCAAGGATGATACCGCCTAAAGCGACGGATCAAAAGTCAGCCTCGCCCGGATGGGCAGATCCAAAGAGACTTCATTCGGACTCACGCGACAAGATCCTACTCGATCCGGTTAAGGTCGGGTTCCAAAATCGAAAAATTAGGGACTCGTCACAAAAAAAATAATCCGAAGGTCTACGCCAAAATAAAAAGATATGTAACAAGCAAGGGAAGGGAAAGAAAAACAAAAGATACACAAAGGCGAAGTAACTGTTTTATTTATATATACGTGCGCAATAGCCGCACCTTACAAAAGGCCGAAACTAGCCCTAAAAAAAATAGAGACGAAAATGAATAAAAATTATTATTATGACAAAAGCTGCAACAACTTTTCACTCGGCATCATCACCGCCGTTCTCCCCGTCATTGACTTCAGGCAACCCATCCTCAACATCAGCATCCTCGCCAGCCTACGATGTCACAGGTTCATAGCCGCAATTGATACGAGCCTAGCGCGCTGTCGCCCGAGCTTCTTCAAAGGCGGCCTCAGAAACATTGCCTGCCTCCCACAAACCCTTGTATATGTCTCATTAGGCCTCGGCATGAACCCAAAGCTCATGCAAGTGACGAGGAACGGAGGCAGAGGCAGATTTAACTTGAGCCAACAACTGCGCTCTCTCATCCTCGAGTGCCACAACCCGGTCCCCTAGGCTCGAAGCCTCCCGATCAATCTCGCCTATGCGCTCTTCGATTCGTGCCTCCCTCAGCGTGGCCGTTGCCCTCTCAGATTCATGCTCAGATTGGAGGATGCGGATAATGTCATCTAGCACTGCCGCTCTTGCCAAAGCCAACGCCCGAGCGTTCTCAGCATTTTCCATATCGACACTTCCTCTCTAGCTCGACCAACTTTCCTATCCATTCTACACTCAAATCTTCAAATTTGGAGGCATTCTGCGCAAGCTCAGGTTGTCGTACGACAACACCTTCACCTGAAGATGCTCACATTCCACAGCGACCCCCTTTCCTAACTCAAGCTCTTCGTCTTTGGCATGGAGCAGCTCCTCGAGCTCACTGCATCTGCGGATGGATTGGATTAACTCCTGGTCCCTTTTCTCCAACTCCTCACCGAGGGAATGGGTGCCGGTACCCGCCCTGAGCCAGTCATGCATCTCACGGCATTTCCTGTGATACCGCCGATACTTTTCGAGCATCTTCAAAAAATCTTGGCCCGAGTCTCGGCCCTGCGAGCACTCTTGATCTCCAGTAGGTAAGACTAAAAACAAAGAGAAGAAATGAGTCAATAAAGGCCGAAGTCACAAAAAAAACCAACAAAGAAGAGGAACTTACCCTCAGGCCCATCGCGGCCACACCACATGATAATTTGGTGTCGCTGACATCCTGAAGAGCTCTGCTTTCTGCGGCAGAGAATAGAAGGTCAAACTGCGGCACAAAATCCACTGTGTCTTGTAGAAGGTTGAGGTCCGAGGGAATCTCAAGTATTCAGGAAGGACCTCCAACTCTTACCGCAGTTCGGATTCAAACTCGTAATCATCAACCATGACGCCTTTTCCCCTCTCTTCGGCGGAAGAAGAAGCACAGTTCGGCCGGGATGTCGAAGGGGCGCCCAAGACAGCGATGGCAGCTTCGAGACTTCGTCTCTCCACCACATCAACCTGTTGACCACTCATAACAGGCATAGTCTCTACGACCGGGTTAGCATCAGCATCAATAGAGGGCACCGCCAAAGAAAGGTCGCCCCTCGAAGATGTTTCGGCTTGAGGAGCCACTTCCAACGCTACCCGTCGTCTCTTCGATAGGGCCTCTCCACTACCAGCACGGGAAGATTCGCCCATTGAGCGAACAATAGGAATCAAAGTGTTTGGTTGGGGAGTAGCCTCCACGAATGCGGCTCCGGCCGCAGGTGTAGATTGGATATTAGGTCTCGGTGCAGGCCGAATAGTATCCCTCGCCACAGGCCGGGCAGGGGGCGCTGGTAGACGGAATGGATCCCTCGTCCTTCGAACTCTCCCTATCAACAAAGAAAGACGATCATATGGCGACAAGGTTAAACTATGAGTTAAAGAATAAAGAGAAACTACAGTGGGCCGACTTACCGGTAAGAGGCTTGCGCCCGTACTTCTCATAGATGGACGCCCATTCACGAATCCCCATTGAATGGGGGAGAATTGCGCCCACCCACTTGCGGATATCATCAACTAGTGGGGGAGGTACTCTCTCGGCTGCAAAAGCAAAAATAAGTCCTTAATACCACCTGATGGAGAATGATCGACGACCGCCTCAAGAGGAATCACAAAATAAATAAAGGAAAACTCACGAGCGAAGTTCCACGTCTTTGGTAACCCTACCGAGTCCTCCACAAGGTGATTTGTACGCACATAGAAGTAGTTTTCCCAAAAGCAGCGATTGGCCTTATTGTCCATCTTCACCATTGAAGCATCACGTTGCCACCTCGCGTTAAGGGCCTCGTCTGACATATAATGTATAGATTTCTCCTAACTTTTGAATCAACAAAATCTGCTGATCAAGCTCGCTAAGAGGCAACCCCGATAGATGGAGGGACTAACTATATGAGTCAAAATCTGACTATAAGATGGTCGTTCTCAAAAGGAATGACGAGGGGTCGACCGAACCGTAGTTGTGCCCACGGCGCATGATAGAAAAGAGCACCTCGACCGTAGCCGGGGTCAAGCCATCAGAAAGCTTGCATCGTAGAACAAATGAAATGTTTGGGCAAGTAATGAAGGGTACAACCATGAGAAAGTATGCTAGTTAAAGACCATTAGATAAAAGGGAAAATGATTAATATATATAGAGTGGGGAAGATCGAAAAAGGCATCTGAACCCAGATCTGGCTACAACATCTGTAGTCATTGCTATGGAATCAACAAAGGGAGATCTCTTAGTCATCAACAGTTTTCTCTCTTCCCTTCAGTGTTCTTTCGAGTATAGCGCATACCTGTCAAAGATTTAAGCTTATCATTTACATTTGATGTATGATAATCATCATAAGAAATATTACACAAGCTTGTCCTACTTCAACTTTTGTACTCAATATGTTTGGATCTAGAGTTAATTATGTTTGGCTAAGATTTACCTTCTATTTCTCTATTAATTAGTTTAACTAAAAAGTTTAACACTTTTTTGGTCAAACAATACGATGATGGCCTGAAATTTAAATTGCCATAACTGAACTTTAGGATACTATCCTGAAGTTTGAACTAAAAAGAACTGACTTCCTGAAATTCGAAGAAGCGGTTTTTTTAAAGTTGTGACTATATTTTGTATACATTACTAATGCTGATTATGCCCTAAAAATGGCCACCGGTGCACGGGGCATTTGCATCTATACCCGCTTTTTGGGTCACGTTTTAACTTGTGCACGTTTTGCAAAAAAATTGCAAGCGTACCCGTTTTTTGCGTAACTTCAGCATACGGGGCTGAAGTAGCAAAGGCAATCACGCAAAACTTCAGCATTCTAGTTGACGGGCCTGAAGTAGCAAAGGTAATACGCTGAAGTTTTTTTGTCGTGGATAAGCTTTTTCAAAAACTTCAGCATAAGATGCTAAAGTTATTTAGTTCATTTGTGAAAACTTCAGCAACTAGATTCATTAGTTTTGTCATAAAGCTATTTGTAAAAATTTCAGCACCAAATAAGCTGAAGTTTTTTTTGTCCTGGATAAGATTTTTCAAAAAGTTCAGCAGAAGATGCTGATGTTATTTAGTTCATTTGTAAAAACTTCAGTATTATATAAGTTGAAGTTTTTGAAAAAACTTATATAGTTTTTTGACCCATACAATCACTATATTGGATCTTCATTTTTTTCCTTCTTTCTGAACGTTTTTATGGAGCAGATCAGTAATTACATTAGAAAAAGGCGCCTTCAGTGGAAATAAATCAAATAATCATAAAGTTTAAGTGATATAAAGTGAAACTATTACTTTAACCCCACAGATCAATTCATTTGATTCAAAGAAAAAAAGATTACATCAAAAATGCGAAAAGAATAAAAAGAAATCGTGCAGCTTATGTTAGTTGATTCATTGTTATTGATAAGTCGTAACAATGAAAACCAGATGTTAACCTGTGTTATCCTACTGAAAATATATCTTAAGAAAACGAAGAAGGAGAAGGAGGAGGAGAAAGTGGATTAAAGTTGTTTAAAAAGTGAATATAAATTAAAATTTAAAAAAAAATGGGTATAGGTTAAATGGGGGCGATCAAATAGGGTGCCTGTGCAATTTTTACCTGGTGCACTTAACCTAAAGTTTGCATCCGATCTGGGCCGTTTATGCTTGGCCCAATTACTGATCCAATTATCCAAGTCCAGAACGTTCAGCCCAAAGCTCTACGTGAGCAGATCCAGGGAGGTCTTTGCTACCGAGATGAACATCGGTTTTCATGGACTTGCACTCCTCAACGAAGCAAATGAATATTCTCCATTGTTTAAGTTATAGTTTCGCATTCAGTTTCTTCTTCAGTGCGCATTTACCACTAAACTCAGTTTACATTTAATCGTTTCATTGAAGCTTAAACGGAATAATTGTTGCAAAAATGATGTCCCCAAAGCCACTTCCAGAAAATCGAGGTTCATCTCACCCGGCTACCATTAGGTATGTCAATATCCTTCGAAAAATACACGCATGTTAATCGTATTTTGATCCTTATGTAGCTTCTCTCTAGAATTAATACTAAGTGATCGTTTTCCATTTCATTGCATTATGCTTACTTTGATTTGGCATTTCCTGATACAAATTTATGCTTCATTCGTTTAAATTAATCGCTGTGATAAGTAGTTGAAGCTATATGAATTTTATCTACTCCTAAGACTGAGGGTAATTGACCCCTCGAAGATATCGCAGGAATTTTTTTTCTTTTTTTTGGTTGAATATTTCTATTTGGAGTTTCGAGGGTTTACCAAAGAAATGTGCTGATTCATTGTCCAATTTACGCATTGTATTAACTGGTTAATCATTCTAATGTTCTTTTTCACATATTAATTTATTTGTTTATAGAGGCAAACAAGATTTGAAAGCATGCACATTTGACCCTGTTTAGTGTAGTTTTTTTTCGTCTTAGAGAATTATCTTCTAGTTAATTTTCCAGTGTTTGATGGTATGATGTAGTATTAGTAGAAGGTGATAAGTGAACTCTGTAGAGTGGAGTCGAAAATGACTTAAATATGATAGATATATTTTTCCCTCCTATTTGGTGAATTTTTTTCCTTTAAGTATAGAATTTAGTAATACCGGCAAGTAAGCACCGTAAAATGCTTTTGCCAAGAATACTTTTTTCTTTATGTCATACCAAATATAGGGCCTTTGTTTTCATCAGCTGGTTGAGTCTAAATATGCCAAAGAATTAGTTAAAAATCCTGGAACAACAGATTGAAATTTTGGTCTTACAACAAAAATAACAGCAACTAAGCCTAGTCCCAAACGAGTTGGGGTAGGCTATATGAATCCTCACTTCTCCATTTAAGCTCGACCCATGTCATCATCATACTAAATATAATAAAAGCAAATATAAGTTAGATATATATGAATAATAGCAATAATAATAATAATATTAGAAGTTCTTTAGCAAGACTAATAATAATGATATTTTGGTCTCACGGAGTACTAAAGTTGTCCAAGCCGATGACTTCCCGCAATATTATGTTTGTATAGATGCAACCTTTATTTTCATAACGGACACACTGTCGTTTTATCCAAGAACAGGGAGGGAGGAGGTGGGGAGAGAGAGAGAGAGAGAGAGAGAGAGGGAGAGAGAGAGAGAGAGTATGTTTTCCTTGTTTGGCGTGTTCTACTGTTGGTTTTTGGCAAATCGTGGCTTCCCAAGAATTCTGCTAAGTTTATGAATAGTCAGAAGCATTTATGGCTAATCCTGTTATACTATTAATATTGAGTTCAGAAATTTTAGTTAAGCAAGTTTCCAACACTCTTATATAAATAAAGCTATCAGTTGTTGATCTTTAAGTGGAAATGGTGGGGAAAAATGGATTTATCATCCTGCTTAAGAAAATGAATTTATCACTGTAGTTTTGAGTCATGTGAAGTTGGTGTACTGTACTGTGAGGCCTGCTCCGTGTTTCCCCAGAAGCTATTACTGATAGACTTGTCCCATTGTAGGCAAACTCCAGTGCAGATAATCCATATTGTTGGGAACTTTATGAGAATATGGTCAGTTTACTCCATGTACCGCTATTTGTCTCAGACAGGGGCTTCAGTTGTTCTTTTTATGTTCTGCTGTCTTCTTCCATCGTGCATCTGGTTTCTAGTAGCGCAAAAGCCTTGGAAGGGCAGGGCGCTTTCTAATACACAGGTCTAGTAGAGCTATCATTTTCTTCCTTAAATAAATGTCGAAAAAGTATTGAAAGGTCATTTCATTGTCACTCATGCTTTTTTGCTGATAATCTTTCTTCCGACAGATTGTCCCTTCAGTTGTAAATGGTGGTATAACAGCTCTTTACTTCATCTTGTGGGGAAAGGGGCTTAAATCTTGTGGTCCTGTTCGGTAAGTTCAAAGTTGAGTGATATTTTACTGTTCCTTTTTTCCTATCTTGAATTTGGTTTTTGCATTGTCCCTTTTTTCCTGTTCGGTAACTCGGGCACTAATATATATCGAACTCCTATTTGTGTACATTGCATAAGCACATGGTAGGTTATTCTGGTAAGCAAATTCTTTGGCATATCATCATTATCTCTTGCGGCCTCTTGTGGTAGTCTATACATGAAAGATTATGATCGTTTTGCTATGGTCATCTGTTTGAATTTGATTTTTCTTCTGTTAATCATCTAGTACCTCCACTTGCCATTAAAAATTCTTATCCAATCAGGGCCATATTGGGTGAGTATTCTGGTGCTGTTCTAGGAGTATTATCTGGAGTACTGTATGGCAGGAGGGACCATGTTTGGAAAAAGGTACCTTTTTTTATTAACTACTGTATTTATTTATTTGCTTTGAAATTAGAAAAAAACCTCATACTTTCATGCGACATAATTCTCATATTCTTGAAAGCATGAACTTGTGGTTGATCTTTTTCTGTCAAATTTATTGAGTATCTCACTGGACTTACACTAGGAAACTTAATTTCTTCTTTTTATGATGTAGTAGCTATAAGTTTATTTTCATGGTAGAAAATGGAATTAAGCAATTGAAAATACTCTTACTTATTAGAAAGAAAAGCAATTGTAAAATTTTCGACTTTATGGTAACTCATTGCTATTTTCCCCATCATCAGGTTGGTGGACTCCTTGCAATGCTAGCATCCTTCTACTTTTTATCACAAGGATGGGCGATGGCTACATATTCTCCATTTCATATCCTTTTTATATTGAACTCTTCTATCTAGCGAACTCATTCTACATTACCATTCTGTTCTTCAATTTCCTTCCCTGTTTCTCCCTAGCAGACTCTTATTTAGCAGCCAACTTAACAAACAATTACCATTTAGCAATGCCTCTGATGATGAGGCACGGACCGAACAGCTAGTAGGAATGAAGGAAATGGTAGTTCCCATTCTCGCTGGAATCTTGTCAGCACTTCGGAGGGTGATCGCAAGAAGGGTCTCGCTTAAGGTTTGTGTAGTCCCATCTAGCTATATGATCCATTCAACTTTCTATCCTCTGGTACTTAACCGAGCAAGTAAAAGCTATCCTTGAATATTTCCATCTCATTTGCACAGAACCAACTGAAGAGGCGACTCCATGCCATAACCCTTACTTCTGCGACATGCTTTTTGTTTCCTGTTGCCATGTGGGACATGATTATAGTGAGTACAGTTTGATACTTTCGATGGCTATGTTAAGAATCTTCTGTTTTACTGTTTTCGACATAATTTAGGAACATTTGGCCCCCCTGCTCCAAGGGTGTTCCCTTTTCTAATTCTTTTATCTCCCTTTTTTCTTCTTCGTCTTCTTCATCATCTTTATCTACTGCTTCTCTTTTAAATTTCTTTCCCTCTTTGTATGGAGATATTCAGGGATCAAACAATGTAGAGTTGCCATTTTCAGCCTGGGCTTTTTCAAGCAGCATCTTATTTGGGATGGTATTGATATTTTACATTGATAGCATTGCAGAGGAAAGGTAACATTTTGTGATCTCTGTCTGATCCTTAAAAGATCCTTTTAATTTATTGACACTTAGCTGATTGCTATTGCAAATACGGTCTGGTCCTCATCTGACCTTATTGATTAATGTTTTGATGTTTTGACCTGTTTGTCTAAAGATCTCTATTTGTGCATGGAGTATGAATTTATGTGTATCTTATCCATAACTTTTATCTTGGGGATGCACACCCATTATTGGCAATTAACTGTCAGCATTGCTTCATGACTTCTTACTTAGAATGCATTTTTCCCTCTCTTCTGCTTGCATTTCACTTTTCCATCTTTACTTTTTATATCGTGGCCCATTGCGAGGTAAGAACGTTGTGGAGTAAATGAGTTCCCTTCCGGCTGGGTACTTACTTTTATCATCTTTGATGGAGCTCAAATAGGAGAGGCATATATTGTGGTCTTTGTTATGTCTTTGGGTATGTTAGATCATATCATCAGAAATGTTAGCTTTCTCTGTTCTGACGCATTTCTTATATTCTTTGATTTCTTCACTAGACCTGCAAGTCAACGGTCTCATACGGAAATTCAATATTATTGCCAATTTGTAGGTTGCATATGGTTTTCTCTTCTCCGAGGCACTTAATGGTTGCGGGAGGATGCATCATTATCATGGAGATAATATATAAAATGGACTTCTCTTTACTCGGCTTTCTTATTTGTGCTGCCATCTTGGGATTTGGTATGATGCAAGTTATTTTTTTTCCTTTTTTTTTTTTGGAGGAACAATGAACTATAATTGAAGCAAAATGTTAAACCAAGGTACGCCATTTTGGGAAAGCTAACATTAAGAGTTGTTTCCCTCGGATTTCTTAACAGTAGAATAGGCATATAGGAAAGCTGAAACATATCCATTATGTAGTCTGCCAATTTGTTTCCCATAATGTATATACTTAAGCTTCTCTAGGGTGATAATTTTTGCATACCAGGTGAGTATTATTGGAGAATAATTTGAAGAATTGAAGTTGATTAACCATTTGTTTTTTATGTTGAGATGTTCTTCAAACGCGCATACTATTTGTTGCTTTTAGTTACTATCAGTCGTAAATTTCTTTCATTGGATCGACATATGTTATTGCATGATATTTACTTTAACTCAGTCATTTATTGGTTAGCGAGTTGATCTCACTTCTGAATTTTATAGGCATATATGAAGCTACATCCTTGGATCGTTCTAGGAGAGATTCTTTCCAAGGATCAAGCTCCAATGGCATCTTGGACGATCAAACTGAAATGTTTCCACTTCCTACTTGATGTGAGCAACCATTTCTCGAAGAATTTGGTTACTTAATTTATTTTCGCCTTTGCGACATGAAGGATGTCACAAGGATATGCTTTTGGATGAGTTAATGTGATCCAGATTCTTAGATAATGAAGTTAAAAAAATTTCATGACTAGTAACAAAGTGTTATCTAAAAGGATGTTTTGCCAAGCACTTGCTTTGCTTCATTGGGAATTATAAGCCTATAGGATGCAGTAATGAATTCAGCAAGCGCTGACTCAGAATATTGATGCTTCCTTCTGAGCTTTCATTTCTTTTGTTTGTCCAGGTGCAATAGCAATCATACTTTTGACTCTAAGACAAGTGATGCAACGAGGAGTACTTTCCATGTTATGCCCAAACCATCGAGTGCCTGGAGTCGTGGAAAGCACCGCAGGGATATATAACAAGCAGAAATGTTCTGTGCCTGTTCGCTTTGATGGTTGCCATGTTGATTGTACATTGAATTTATGTTATGGTTTGATTTATTTGACTGATAGAGTTAGCAAAATATTTGTACAAACGATATATATTCCTTTATGGATTTTTTCCTTCTCCGCTAGTCTTTCATTATTTTATGAAGGGTTAATAAAGTGCAATATGTTAATTCAAGTTAATAAAATGCAAGCCATGTGTTTGCAGTATGTTAGATTTTATTGTAATTATATATATAATATAAAGATTTGAGTAGTTTAATTCAGAGTTTTAAAATATTTTTACTATTAAAAGTATTTCTATCTTTCTTAATAAAGATTTTGTATCTAAGCCAAAATAATATCAGAAAATCTATTAAAATTTTTTGGGGTCCCAAAAGTTTGGGAGCCTAGCCACCAATAACTTACTTTCTTTTTTCTTGATGAGGAGATGCCTTTTAATTAAAATAACAAACTTACAGGATTGCAACTATGCAGCTTCTTTTGGTGTCAACTATTGAGGATGCTGCGGACAACGTTACATAATATGTCGGATATTGACACTAAAGAGAGCTGAGTTATGAATGCGGAATAATCACCGTTTCAAGAAATGAAAGACTTGGTATCCATTGAATCACGGTTCTCTGAAGCAGCTAGTGGAAGGCAATAAGGAAATACTTGGTTAGATAACCTTTATGAGGTGTGTTCTTTCCTCAAATACTATCAGTTATTGAATGAGAGAATAAATGTTTTTCATACAGGACAACGAATCAAGGAAGAAATTCTGATAGTCCACCTTCTAAAAAGGATGTACATTCACTGAAAAGTGAGTAGATTTCAACTATTTCAAGCAGTGTTGGATCAAAGATGCAACTTGCACAATTTTGTAGTTGAATGAAATTTACACTTTGTTCACTGTTACATTAGCCGAAAGCTGGCAAAAATGGTTAAATCTGTCAGCTAGTTCTAGGCTCTGTTTTCTCTGCACTACTTAGTACAGCTTTGGTGAGGAGATGAATAACAATTCCAATGGGACAAAATAGCAAACAAAGAGACACAGAATGGCGCGTTTCAATGTCATTTTGCAAACCATCATGATATACCTGCCTGTTTGAAAGAAAAAAAACAGCATTAAAATATTGGTCAGTCTGGAAGAGAGCTACTTCTACAGCAAATTCAAACTAAGCTCAACGGATTGGCTGGGGCGGGGGGATTCAGGTGGTCTTTTTGAGGGCACGTTTATCATATCTACAAAGCATATCATCTCGCTCAATTCAAGAAGAAAATAAAAGATGCAATTTTTGCAGTTCTATATTGGAGTAATTGGCCACGGAAAAAGTGATCAATTTTTCATAGGGGTATTGAATAGAGGGACCTGCTTCCTTTGCCACATCCCAAAAGAGACAGAAAACATACAACTATTGCACAAACATACGCAGCCAAGTGACACACACAGAGAGAGAGAGAGAGAGAGAGAGAGAGAGAGAGAGAGAGAGAGACCTTGCGGCAAAAAGATCTACAGCCAATAGGTGAATCCATGCAGATGCTAATGTCATCTCACTGGAAAACATCTTTGCTATACCAGCTAGCTGAGCAGAATGAAATATCAAAAATTCGAACCACAGAATCAGCACAAGATAACAAGTATCATCTGTTGAGCACAAGAACAAACCTCTGGAAGCCAGTATTTACTAGCAAACATCAGCCGAATTGTATCTGGTGTCCATGAGAGGTATAATAGAAACCCGTACAGAAGTCCAAGCACAACATATAGTAAGGTGCTTTTCATCAGTTTTCTGGTCTGCATTAATTATTTAATCAAGCCTTAAAGCAATATATCTAGGAAAGAAGTAAATCTTCTCAACATTCTTAATTTAAAACTTGCATGCTCTTAACCCAAAGTCAGTATCTTGCAATTAGATGACAGATTAATGCAACTGAAACCATGCCCCAGCAGTTCTACTTCCATGCATGACATAATGAGAGAACTTGGACCAAGAGTTTTTTAAGCTGATGATATAAACACAGAGTTTAAGACGAAAAAACGAAATGTTGCTTTACAGAACTGAGATAACTTACAAGTTGAGCTTTAGGTGCTACAACCATGAGGGTGTAAAACGGAAGAACGGCTGCCGTCCCCAGTGTAAAAACACTGCTAGCTATTTGAGAATTAGGCAACCCTGTAAAATATGACATCAGTTGTCCCAAAATTGTATGCTTACATATATTTCCAAAATCTCAAATGGATCAATTTGATAGTCCATATACAATATAGTGACAATGTTTTTTGAGGTAAAATCCAAATAGGTGCACTAATTAGTTTGCTTATTCACTCCACAGGAAAGAAAAATTTATAGAAAGCAGAAGGTATTGCCTGCAGCTATGTTGAATTCTGTTTGCATTATCAACAATCTGTTCTTCGATATACCACAACATACCCAAGAACTTACACATGTCGATGGATTAGCAGTTTAGCTCAAAGTTAAATATTAGCTTGGCAAGAAAATCCTCTAATTAATAACAGCGGCATAATTTTATAAATAATGTCAAAAGAGGATATTTGCATTCATCATGTATGAAACCCCCAGGTCAACATTTATGACATCGTTAATAGAGTAAGCGGACATAGATTATGACAATTCATCTCAACAATCTGTTAGTCAGAAGCTACAAACCAAAAGCTATTACACCTTTGCCACGCTTCTTGAACCGTGAAAGTAGTTTCCTGAAAGTGCAATATCATGTTCCAATTTTAATCCTACATAACAGATGTGTTAGAAGGGAGGTGTCATCCATACCCAAAAGTGCATTATTCTGAGATGAATGTAAATTAAGATGAATAACCAGATTTCAGATAGAATATAGCTGCTTCTCCAGAATTATGCCAAGGAAAAAAAAGTACCAAAGCACATCAAGAACTAAGATAACTGATAAGACTAAAGAAGTAATAAGATGAAAATATTACATATAGCAGACACCCTGCAGCTTTTTCTTTGCTGAAGATTTTGGAGGTTTGGCTGAAGTATTACTCTTGATCCTCCCAGAAAGCTCCACCCATTTCTATGCTTACTTCCCCATTTTCCAACTTGTTGACTTGAAAGGTCAGGGGTTATTGTTTCAAGTGCAGAGGAGACTGGCTGGTTCCTCCTGATATTTCGTATGAAATCTGATGTCAACGCAGGTGCATAGCTATCCGTCTACAACAAGTAGTAAACATTAATTACTTCTAATAACTAATTGCAAAATCATTCAGCAGAACGACATTTCATTGTAGCTTCAAACTTGCTAGTGTTTAGTGAGTAAGACAGCCTTATTTCTTTCTTTTCATTACCAAGTAAAGATCAATCTCTGGAAGTTGTCGAACACCAAGTCTATGTACACATGAGAATTCAATAGCGTCAGACTGACATTTACTCGCTAAGCCTCCAGACATTAGTGTACCTTATTATTAAAAGGTTTTTCTTCCCAAACACCCCTATCCCACCCCTTTTCTCTCCCATCCCCCGCCCTCAAAGCATAAGAGGCGTCACAAGTGCTGTAATTCAAAACCAGATTTCAGTCCTTGGAAAAAGTAACAAATTGATCCCAGCTGAAATGGAAGAAAAGGTAACCCAACTGAAGCATGTGTTTGGTGCCTCCTATTGCCAAAAACATCTCCAAATAATAGAAAATACCATGTAATCTCTGCTTCTGATTGCTTAGTTACTCAACACTATCTACCTGAAGTCTTCACTTACATTTTATGCTCTTAAATGTGAGATTTTCAATTTTAATTGTTATTATATTGCAATGGAATGGAGTTTCAGATCTAACCTGAACAGTACTAGTAAAAAGTGTCTCCGAGTATAACAACAAACCAAACATGAATATCCCGGTCAGAGCAAGTAAGAAGAGGTTGGAAAATATTCCAAATAAGACTGACACTTTGAGAAAAATAAACGAAGAATTTTTAGGCAAAAGATATATTACAAGCTATCAGTACACCCCTACCATCCCCCCTACCCCTCCCAAAAAAAGAAGACGATACCTTGAGTGAGAATTGGGAGTGACAAAAGCAAGTGGAAGATAAGGCCATGGTTGATGGGTTAGGGAATTGACCAAGAATTTGGAGGAATAATAACAATAGCAAGAATTAAAAGATAATTGCCTCCTCATTCGGTGCAGAAATACAAATTAAAGAGAGCAATTGTAGTAAGAGAGAGCTTTTAGCAGGGGGAAACAAGACTAGCTTTTCGAGCAAATAGAGTGTGGTAAAATCTAAATTGGACATGCTCACTACTGAAGTATACAGTATATACACTCACATAGTGAACTTGGCCAACTTCAGATCAGAGTCAGACGTAAAGGAAATTTCACCAAATCCAAAAACACACCCCCTATTGGAGGAGGAGTTGTTTTGTTCGTTTAGAGACAATAGAGTTTGTCACTCTCTTTCATTCTCTATTTCTGATTGGCTTATCCTCTTACTTAGTTTTGTTATTTTTTGGACTAGGAGGACACGATAATGAAAGAATAAAAATATAGCACAAAGTAGTGAAAACGTTTTTTGAATTAGGATTTTAATATTCTGTATTCCTTCATATTCTTTTATCTAAACTGTAACAATATTTTCTTCCTTTTATACCACATTAAGTGAAATGCGCCAACAGTTTCCATTTACAGGTCATGTGTCAAACATCTCTATACCAACCTCGTTTGTTTCGAATATTTTTGAATGTTATTGTGAAGTGCTGTTATAGAGAACATATATTATAATATAACACAAAAATTAATTTCGGTAAAACTGGGCTTTTATAATGAAGTGTTGATATATAAGGATGCTATTATAAAAAGGTCTGACTGTACCGCAAATGTCGACCATTATAAGGGAGCATCGTGGATTACATAACACTGGATTTTCATTTCATTCGACCAATTTCTGAGAAGTTTATCTTTTTTACTTCTTTCTCCGAATTATTCTTTTTCCTTATCTTTTAAAAGTACGGAAAAAAAATGATAGGTTAAAGTAGTGGTTTTCACTTCCCATAATGATTTATTTATCTATTAATGTGACAAAGGAGGCGTCTGAATTAGCGCGCACCTCAACTACTCCACCAAGTTCCCTCAACCTTTCACTAGCACAGGTATACAATAACTGTCCAATCATTGGTTAGGCATATTGAAAGAAATCACCTAGAAGAAATTTAAAACTGATCTCCCAAGTTTGCACTCACTCAATAAACCATTAGGCAAAAGGTTACACAATGAAATGACTTCCCTAAGAAAAATTCTGCACCAGTAAAATGCTCTTCCATTTCTCTTCCAGTCATCGAAAGAATTTTTTTTTAGCCCGTAAAGTTAAATTCAGAATGACTACATTGCTTATTATTTTCATGGAGTCCGAAACTTTTTTAATCATTTTTTGGACAAAAAACACTTTTGTATTACTTTAAAAAAAAAAGTTACATAAATAAGTAAAACACAGTATTATACTGCGAATTACTTTAACGAAAATTTTGCCGTTAAAGTAATTCGCACTATAGTACTGCGTTTTACTTAAAAAATTATTTTTTTTGTAATTCGCAGTACTATACTGCGTTT